TCACAATTTTGGAATAGAAGAAATCTTCAAACATTCTAAACTCACATGATGAAATCTCATCACAAGGAGAAAGAGTAAGGAAAACTACTCACTAAGCATGGAATAAACACAACAAAAAATTTAGTTTAAATCAAAGCAAATTCACTAAAAAAATTATTACAACAATTATAAGATAAAGAAGAACACACTACCTAGTTTTTTCCTCTAAAAGAAAGATGAAAATTCCTCTAACAAAGCCTCTTACTAATCCAGACAAAATTCCTACAATTCCTTTCAGATATCTCTCAAAATCCCTCACCAATCTCTCCAACAAAAGTTGAAAACTACGTCCATACTTCTATCCACGACTTCTGGACGTTTTTTAAAGTTCAAAGAGTTTGAAAGGCCAAAAGATACCTTTCCAAGTGTCCAATAGTGCTTGAAAACTCCCAAAATCGAGCAATAACCACCAGAAATGGCGTGATAACGCCAAAATCGGCGCTATGGCGCCTATTTCTCGATGTGACTGGCGCGATGGCACCAGTTTGGGCACTATGGCACCAATTCAAAAGTTGGGGTGGCTCCAATTTGCCACAATTCAGTACCATTCTTGCTCCAACAAAATGCGTCAGATCAAAATTTTCTTACTTGCTTGATTTGGCTTCAAATTGCACCATTTTTTTCTATATTTTCTCTAAAAATCTATTTCTTGTACCTAGAACTAAAAACATGCAAAATACATTTTATTAAAGCACAATATCATAAAAATGTACAAAAAATGAGCATTAAATATATATTTAAAATAGGTAATTTTAAGGTGCATCATCTACCTCCTCTGCGAGATTGTCATTCAGAAACACATTATTGACATCAAGCCGGAATAAGGATCAATCCAAATTTACCGCAAGGAATAATAGGACTCTAATGGTGTTTGATTTAGCAACTAGGGCAAAAGCCTCCTCATAGTAAACTTCGTAAGTTTGTGAACAGCCTTTGGTAACCAACTATATCTTGTTGCATTCAAAGGATCCATCAAATTTAAACTTGATGTTAAAATTTCATTGACATCCCACTGCTTTCTTGCTCCAAAAAAGATCAACGATGTCCCAAGTGTGGCTTTGCAGGAAAAGCATTCATCTTCATCATGACGATAGCTTTTCAAGCTAGGCCTACTAGGGTAGCCTTAATAGTATATGGGAGCTGATGATTGATCAGGGTCGTAGGAAATGCTCTGTAGGTCGACGAAAAATTGTAAGAAAAATATAATTTTTCACGGGATATAGGGAGAATGTCAAGTTGCATACTTTACTAGAGGAACAGACTTCTTCATTTGGAGTAGAAGTAGTGTTAGGGATGTCATCCAGAGAGGATTTAGGGTCCGACAATGGGTTAGTGAGCTCTTGAGTAGGTGCATCAGAATGGGTGTGTTTAGTGAAGACAGAGAGTGATATGAATAGGTTGAACCAAAGGGACAGAAGGTTCCTCGGTGGTAGGAGAAGTGAGTGGAACCAATGGAATAGAGGGTTACTCGGTGCTAGGTGATGTGGGGGGGAACATCTGTAGGAGTAGGGGAAGAAACTGTGTCCAAGAACTCTAGCTCCCACTTATCGGAGGCTGAGTTAGAAAAGTAGGGTACACATTAAAAAAGAAAGACATCAGCACTCACATAGACCTTATCTGTGGTAGGTTCAAGGCATCAATAGTCCTTTTGAGTGATGGGTTACCTGAGGAAAACACACTTTATGGGCATAGGATCAAGTTTACTCTGAATTGGGGTCGTGTTCTAAACAATTGTCGTGCACCAAAAATTTGTGAATCTAAAGTGGAGAAGACCCGATTGTTAGAAAAGCATAATTTCAAGACGGCTAACGAGATTTGAAAGTTCTGAACTTTTTATGGAAATCTTTTGATGAGATATGTGGCGGTAACTATGAAATTATTCTAGAAATATTTTAGGACATTAAATTGAAATATAATGAAGCAAAAAACATCGATAAGATGTCAGTTTTTTCTCTCATTTATCCCATTTTGTTGAGTAATGTTTATATACGGGCTATTATGGAGGATGCCCTTACTTATTAAGAATTCTCCTAATATAGAGTTAAGAAATTCATAACCATTGCCAATCACAATGACTTGAATAGAAGTTTTGAATTGGGTCAAAATGAAGGTATGAAAGTTTTTAAAAGTGATTGCAGCTTCATATTTGACTTTTAAAATATAGGGCCACATCATCTAAGTGTGGTCATCAATTAAAGTAAGGAACCGTATTTTATTGGTGTAGCTGAGAGTGCAAAAGGGTCTCTATAAGTCACTATGAATAAGAGAGAAAGGAAGGGAAGGTGGTAAGTGTGGGATGGATAAGGAACACCAAGATGTTTAGCTAACTGACATGTTTCATATTGGAAATAAGAATGATTTTTTTTAGTAAGCTTCAATGGATACAATTATTTTAAATACTGGAAACTAGGAGGACCCAAACGATAGTGAAACAACAAAATGGGACATTCAGTGGATTGTGATAAACTGCAACTACTGGGTTGAGTGTCCTTGTTCTCCGTGCTTTTTCTCTTGGAAAAAGTAGAGCTCGCCTACCTGCTTAGTAGTTCCAATCATCCTCCCCGAATAACGATCCTGAAAGACACAAGCATCAAGGGAAAATGAGTAACACATTTAATGTCTATGTCAACTTACTAACAAATAAAAGAGCACACTTCAGCGGAGGAACATGTAACACAGATTCCAATTAGAACTATTGTTAGAACAATAGACCTTTACTAGCAATGGAACTCTGGGAACCATCATTAATTTTAACAGTATCTTTCCCTGAGCAAGGATAAGATATCGAGAAGGCTTGGGAGCTTCCAGGCATGTGGTCCGTGGCACCTAAATCAATGATCCATGGACTAGAAGGGGTAAAAGAAGAGAGTGCCATAGAATTTCTACCTCGACAAACGTGGGAGTTCGATGAGCCGGAAGAGAGCGGATTGAATCCAAACAACTTAATTAAGTGTTCCATTTGACTCTTAAGAGAAATGGAGGATTTTGATTGTTTTGGGTAGAGGCCGACTGTACTATGTTGGATTCAGATGTCGTAGCTAGACCCTTGGCAGCAGAAGATTTGGTTGGAGGTTTGGATGCAAGTTTCTCATGAGGCTTGCAACACTTATCATGAGTGAGGTTGAGCTTGTAAAAATAATCATCAAGTGGGGTAACCAACCCAAGGTTAAGAACTATTAGAGATTAAGACGGATGCTTCGACTGACAGAGTACAATCACCAAGCATGACAAATCTTCTGCTCTCTTCGCGACAAATCTCAATGAAAGCAGCGTGAGTAGGAAGGGGATCCTGGCCAAGGATATGTCTTCGAACATTATCAGGATTTTTTTTTAGGCCTACCAAAAATTGGAACATGCGGTCCTTTTCTACAATTTTCTGGAAAAGTGATAGGACTGTTGGAGATTCCTAAGTGTAGTCATAATATATGTCACATTCCATCCATAATGCAACTAGGTCATTGTAGTACTGGATCATGGTTTTAGATCTTTGTTTTGACACGGATTTTCTTGGAAACCTCATAGAGTTTGTTGTAATTCCCTACATCCGAGTAGGTATCACAGACTGCAGTCAAATGGGCACTAGCAGAATGAAGAAACATATATAATCGACCAATCGAAGTCTACATGGAGTTGATCAACCAAGACATCGCCATGAAATTCTCCACTATGTCAGCTTCATATGTTGGATCAGTCTTTTGAGCTTCACGAATAATACTATTGAGATGATTGAATTCCCCACGACCTTTGATGTGCAAAGACACAAATTGGGACTAATAGAGAAAGTTAGTCATTTAGTTTATAGGTTGTGATCAAGAAGTTCATGTTATTTTCATGTCCTCTCATCTACAGAGGAATGGGGGGTTGGAATTGATCCTCTGGTTGAATCAAAAATAACTTTTGATGACTGTTTGATGCTGGAGGAATTCATCGTGATTCCTATTGAGCCAAACGAGGCGTTAAGTAATTGAGAATCATAAGGTTCGACTATCAGGGGAAAAAGATATGGTTCAGAAAGAGGTACTCACTGAACTGAATCTTCTAGTAGACTGGTAGTAGGTTCCCACAGTCAGATCATAAGGTTCCAACGAGTCTGACGACTAGTAGTTAGCCCACGCAATCTGAAACAATGGTTCTGAAGGCTCATATGGCGACCTTGAAGTTGATCCAAGGCCAGGAGGATCTGGAAGCAGTATTTGGACTGTTCAACCGACAGCAAGAAGGGGTCCTATATTAGCTAAGTTAGGACCACGACTCTGATACCAAGTTAGAATAGAACCAGAATAATTCATATCGATATAAAAAGAGATATATATACTCATTACAGGATACAGTAGAAAGAATAAAATAAATAAGAAGATATAATAGAAAAAGAAAAGAAATAAAAAAGAATCAAGACTAATAACTTAGAATAATCAGGAATTAATAACGGCTATTACTAGCCACTAATAAATATTCTAACAAAAAGAATACTTGTATTTCAAATGCTTTTAAGTGCCCAAACTAAAATAAAATAAAATATTATTCACGTGCGGACTTCTACTGTTCCAACAAGCCATCTTTATAGTTCAGGACCAATCTCCATCGGCACTTACGGGCAAATAAAAATCACATTAGATCTCCTAGCTCCCAGCATTCCCTATTGTTTTAATCTAACAACCCTTTCATTCCTTGCCCAGAAATTGCGCCTCCCACAAATTTTCATCCCATCTAGTCCTGGATTTTTTTTTGCTTGGTTTTTTTTTTTTTTTTTTTTTTTAACTATATTCATTTTTTAGGTAAGAAGTTAGTACAAGAGTTCCAACTCGAAAAAAAAAATAAATTACTGCATAATTTATACAAAACAAAATCTACTTTTCAAGTGAATTTTATAACTATAAAATCATAAGAAGTTCCCATGTCATCTATAAAATAATGAGTTTAATTTCAGTACACAGTAAAACACCATAAACCTTAAATATTACATTAAAGATAAATGTTCAGTATCAAACTTCGAATTTCCATGATTCCAAGATTCGATGATATAAATCATATACAGAGTGCCATACATGGCAAATAAAGAACAGTAAGATCATACGCATAATTTTAAGGTCACATATTATACAACATTATAAAATACAATTACCCACTAATGGCAACCCCAACAACCATTTGAGGCTTCATAGTAACAGAAACTGGGGCTTCTGCCATCTGCAGCTGCTGCTTCGTTACTTCGAAGGAGCGAGATAAAGCATCCACCATGGTTGGAAGAGCAACTGCTTTGTTATCAGCATCACTCGCATCTGAGTTCACGACTTCCCACTCATCTTTGAGAGTCGCACTCTTCGTCTCCTCTGATCGCCTCTCAATATCAAAAGCTGTGGGAAGGATAACATAATCATTCATGGGGTTATAGAAAGGATCGGGCTCGCCGGCTTTCAACCAGTGCTTCAGTATTCGAAAAACATGATGGTCACAGACTATTCCTCGATGTTCGGCATTAACTGCAACTCTGATCGACGCATCAAATCCATCAGCCTGAAAGCATCAGTTCAAACATAATGTTAAAGATATAATGGCTCTCAAAGTGCGTGGTCGAAGATTATGGCGTTTGAGTATTAGTTGTGGGGGGCAATGGATGGTAGGACACTTTGATCTTAAAAACCTAAGCACGGAAAGTGTATTAAAAAGCTAATGATAGTGGTAATTTTGATGTGTCTCCAAGCGTTATGTATGTAAATATGAAAGTTTAAGTGTTAGATATGTAAATATAGCTGTGTGATATGTATGTAAATGCCACCTTTTTTTTCTGGCTGCCAAATCCAGCAAGTGAGACCATGGAAATGGCCCAACTTTGGATCACAGCTTTTTTTGGATTGAAAAAAATGAATCCAGCCACTGTTTTGCCGTTTTTTTTTTCCACTCTTTGTTTTTATTTATTTTTTATTGCAAATTGCTACAGCATATTCATGAAAACAGTTAGTTCTGAAACTTACTACATTTCATGTTAAAATATAAGACTTTTGTATTGACAAGCTAAAAGCAGTAGGCTACAGTAGTAGTAGCCCTTGTGGCAAAGTTATAACTATGAGTGATTAAATCATTAAAAGATGTGATCGTTTTAGATATCTCGGGTATCTGATCGTTTTAGATATCTCGGGTCTATTGTTCGAAGTGATGGTGATATAGATGGGGATGTTATTAGTAGAATATAAGTTGGATGTTTGAAATGGAGAAATGCATCGGGCTTATTGTGTGATAGAAAAGTACTAAGCGAAATGAAATTTTATAAGATAGTGGTGAGACCTGAAATGCTCTATGGTGCAAAATGTTGGCCTTTAAAAGAGAAGCATAAAACATAAGTGTTGTTGAGCTGAGAATGCTTAGATGGATGAGTGTCTTGATACTCAGGGGCAAAATGCGAAATAAATATATGTGATAGGATTTGTGTAGCTCCAGTGGCGGACAAGGCTAGAGAGAATCGTCTTAGATGGTTTGATACATTAAATGTCGACCATCTAATGATCCCATTAGAAGAATAGATGTTTTAGATTCCACTTATGTTAAGAAAGACAAAGGTAGTGCTAAAAAGACTTGGGCATATTGTTTTAAAAATTATATTACTCAGTTAGAATTAAATGAAAATATGACCCTTAATAAAATGCAATGGAGAAAGGAATCATGAAGCTGAACCCACTTAGTTGGATAAATGCTTATTGTGGTTGTGGTTGTGGTTGTTGTTGTAGATTGTTTTTATTAGAATTGCTTAGATTTTTTTTTAATTAATTTCAATCATTTTATTATTATTTCTTATTATGTTCTTTGTTTTCCTTTTTATTAATTTGTTTAGAATTAATATTTGAATTGAAATTTTAGACATGAATTTAATTAACCATTTCTTTAAATTGATTAAAGAATTTTCAAGATAAATTTCAAGAATATCACTCCCCTTCACAATGCTGAGTAGTTGAATATATTTTATGTACCCCTTTAGCTTGGGAGTAATGCACCAGGAACTTTATTCTACAAGTATGAGAAATATTAATGTCAAGATCTCGATTTGCCTATGCATTGCCCTAAGTTCGATGTGGCAATTTACAAAATATAGTTAAGATTAGCCACTCGAGTTATAGTCATCATCTTCAAGCATTAGAAGAATAGATGTTTTAGATTCCACTTATGTTAAGAAAGACAAAGGTAGAGCTAAAAAAACTTGGGCATATTGTTAAAAAATGATCTTAATCAGTTAGAATTAAATAAAAAATATGACTCTTAATAGGATGCAATGGAGAAAGGATTCATGAAGCTGAACCCACTTAGTTGGATAAATGCTTGTTGTGGTTGTGGTTGTAAATTGATTTTTTTAGAATTGTTTAGATTTTTTTAATTAATTTCAATCATTTTATTATTATTTCTTATTATGTTCTTGTTTTCTTTTTTATTAATTTGTTTATAATTAATATTTGAATTGAAATTTTAGATATGAATTTAATTAACCATTTCTTTAACTTGATTAAAGAATTTTCAAAATAAATTTCGAGAATATCACTCCCCTTCACAATACTGAGTAGTTGAAGACATTTTATGTACCCCTTTAGCCTGGGAGTAATGCATCAGGAACTTTATTCTATAAGTATGAGAAATATTAATGTCAAAATCTCGATTTGCCTATGCATTGCCCTATGTTCGATGTGGCAATTTACAAAATATATTTAAGATTAGCCACTCAGAGAGTTGTAGCCATCATCTTCAAGCATGCAGCCTGTGTAAATTTTGCAGGTAGATCCTAACGACATCAAACATTTATGGATCGAGCTATGATATTGTTTCAATTTGTTTATCAAATTGCAGGATTTGTTTATCAAATTGCAGGACTCATTTTGGATATTTCTCTGACGCAAATTTACTTGATCCTCTTTAGGTCTCTCTAACCGTCTTACCAGACAAAACAAGAAGCCTATGATAAGGTATTTCAAAAAGCTTTTTGGTGAACATTCTTGAGGTTATATCCTTACAAAATCAAATGTGGGAATAATACAACATTGCGGTTTTAATTTTAGTAAACATTTAACTTCAACACAAATTTAAAATATCATGCATATATTTATATTTAGCGCATTTTATTTAAAATATTTTTTTATGATGCTTGTTTTCCTTATTATAACAAGCTGAACTAAAGAAAAAACATTTGAACGAGCAACTATACACATAGACCGTACGTCAATACCTGATACATTTAACACAAACAAATCAATGTCTACCAAAACTTTCAATGCTCATATAGGAAGATGGACAGTAGAACTTTCGGGATGGGATTATGATGTCGATAAAAGTGCAAAATCCAGAGAATGGAAATCAGTTTGAACTAACGTCATGAATGGAAAAGAAAAAAGAAAAAAAGAACGTCCTGTTTGCTTCAGTGAAACAAAGTCACACTAGCGTCAATGATGGAATATACTATTTTCACAGTTTTCTGTCGTTAGCAAATATTCAGTCACTAATCTGGACATCTCAAACCAAACAAAAGTTCTGGAGAATTTAGGAACAATTGAGCTGTTTTATCAACTTTTAGTATCGAATAAGAAACTTCAATTATGACAGCAGAAAAATAATGAGGACGATTAAAATATTTAAAAAGACTACTTACTTTGGCTGACTCAGTTGGAACTGTTCCATCCCCACTAACACAGATATGCTTGGGCTGAGAAAGAGTCATGTTAAGTTTTATTAGAGTAAAGCATAAAAAGCAGTCCCTAAAAGCAGCATTGAAGAACATTAAAAAAAAAAGTAGATTTCAAGTTTCATTAAAGGCCAAATTAAAGAACTTATAGCACCCAAAGAAGGATATCAAGAGCAGCAGCAGAAAAAAAAAAACAGTTATGCATCGCAGTATAGCAAAATCTAATGATGCACACAACATACAAGGTAAAATTTTACTGCTACTATAAACGGCAAAAAAGGATAAAACTAGAACAATTTCTATTTAGAATAAAAAAAAGAAAAAACTAATTTAAAATCATAATGATTTCAGAATGAATCTTAGAAAACAAATCAAAATACCAAATCATTCTTGTTGATCTGCTTCAAGAGTTAAATTTACTAGATAATTTTTTTGTGCAACTCTATTCAAGTTATTTTGTTCTATCCATTTTCATTCTTGTTTCATCAATTTTAATTTAACAGGTTTAATTGGTGAATCTTTATCCTCTACTACGCATGCTCAAGCCATATAAATTTTTTTAACACTATCATTGTCAGGTCCTAAGTCCAAGATGTAAAATGTTGAGAGTTGCATTAGATAGCATCAATTTTTTTGTCGAAAAATTATGGCATGAATCATTTAAATTATTATAATAATAATGGGACATTAAAGTGACACATAGCTTGAATATAGTAAAAATTATGCAAAAACAGCTGCACCAGCACCCGGGTAGTGCTAAATAAGCAATAGTTTACACATTACGGAAAAATACGAATAAATAAGTTAATTCATGAAATTAATATTAAGATAAAAATTTGAAATATATGTACTCTTATTAGTAAATTAATGAAATTAATAGAAATTACGGTTCATAAAATGATAAGTCTTTGATGGATTCAAAAAACTAAATGGATTGAAGAAAAAATTAAGAAGATTGATAAGTTAAGTTCCTAAATATTAGTATTCAGGTAAAAAACATACTAGAAATAGCAGTGTAATTATAGATAAAATTTTCAAATATAATGTTGAAAAATTAAAAAAACTAAAAATAGAATTATAATTTTAAAGATTGTTATTGATACTAAAATTTTTAATGCTACAAGTATTTATGCTCCCCAATAGGTTTTGATGTATGTTCAAAAGAAAAATTTTGAAAAGAATTAGAAAAATTAATACAAATGATAGCTCTTAAAGAAATTGTTTTTTATTGAAGGAAATTTCAATAGACATATTGATGGAGTAGTAGAAGAATTCATAAGAATTCATGGAGAGTAATTTTAGAGTAACTAATGAAAAAGATAAAGTTATATTTAATTTTGCTTTAGTTTAAATTATATTATTTTCTAATACTTTATTTAAGAAAAGTGAAAAACATACTCTTATAAGAATAAATTTAACAAAACACAAATTGAATATTTCCTTATGAGAAAAATAGATCATCGAGATTGTAAGATCATTCGAAGTGAAAATTTAAGTGTCCAACATCAATTATTAATTTTGAATTTTAAGGGTTGGAAGAAGATGAAAAATATAATGAAATATCTATCATAGATATAGATTAGGACACTTCAAGAAAAATAAATTTAATTTTATGAATACATTTCAAAATCTTCAAATTTGAGATGTTCATGAGTAAGCTAAAACCGTGGGGATAAAATAACGAGTGTTATTAAGCAAAGTATAAAAAATGTGTTTGAATAATAAAAAAGAAAAACTATAATGATAAAAAATACTTTGTGGAATACCCAAAATAGATAAAAAAATAAAAAATATTTTTATGAAAATTAATTTAGATGTAAAATCTTAGAGAATTAAAAAAACATAAAGATGTGCAGGAATTGAAGTACATCTCAATTGTTACAAAATTTTCAGATGTATTTCCTAAGATATTATCAAGACTACCACCAAAACGTGAAACTGAATTAAGATAAAACATATTAAAAGGCTCTAAGAGAAGTGCATTTGAGGGTTCTAGAAAAAGAAGATGTTGATATTTTTTATGTTCATGTCATTAAAAATATGTATATTATAGTTGTAATTTATGTTCAAACATAAGGATGGTTGACCAAGTATTTTTCTATTTTAATTGGATTACATTAGGGATTGTTATTAAGCTCTTATCTTTTTGTTCTAGTTATGGATGCTCTTACTAGACATTTGCAGGAGGATATACTTTGGTGTATGTTTTTTTGTTGAAAATATCCTTCTTATGGATAAGACGAGAGAGAGTTACGGAAAAAGTTGAATTATGGAGGTTAACTTTAAATTTTAAAAGCTTTTCATTTGAGTAGATTAAAACTGAATACATGAAATGTACTTTTAATAATAATAAGCCTAGTGGCGGAGTTATATCAATGGGCAATCAAGCCATTAAAAGAAATGAACATTTTAGATTTCTCAAGTCTATTATTCAAAGTGATGGTGACATAGATGAAGATGTTATTGGTAGAATTCAAGTTGGATGGTTGAAGTGGAGGAATGCATCAAGTCTATTGTGTGAAGGAAAAATATCGCTTAGACTTAAAAGGACATTTTTATAATATGGTGGTGAGACCTGCAATGCTTTGTGGCAAAACAAGTTAGCGTGTAAAAAAGAAGCATAAAATTAAGTGTTGCAAAGATAAAAATGCTCAAGTGAATGAGTGGTTATAGACTTAGAGATAAAATGTGAAATGACTATATCTATGAAAAGTTGGAGTAGCTCCATTGGCAAACAAAATTAAAGAATCATCTTTAAATGGTTTGGACACATTAAATGTGACAGTTGGGAGACTAGATGATATATATTTAACTTATGTTAAGGAAAACAAAGATAGAGCTACAAAGACTTAGGCTTGTTCAATAAAAAATTATTTAAATTTATTTGAATTAAATGAAAATATGACACTCAATTGGAAGGAAAAAAGATTCATGTAATCAACCCCACATAGTGGGGTAAAGGCTTGTTATTGTTATATATTCAAAAGTTGTATATTCAAAAGATCTATTCCTTCGGCCGCTCTTAGGTAGTTACTCATGTATCTTGTCTTTCCCACCCTTATCTACATATGTACAAACACTTCAATTTTTTATGTTAAACAATAGAGGTTTACGAACTTAGTGTAAGCATTGGCAAATCAGTTTGCATAAAGCAATTTGTAATATATAAGAAAGTAAGAATTCTTACAAAAAAAAAGGTTGTGAATAGAACAGAAGTTATAGATTTTGATGATTTATATCATAGGCTTGGTAATAGGTGTTGATAAATTCGATTGATAAGGACATTAAAATTTTTGCCTAATTCTAGAATTCAATCCTCATCTGTCATAACAACTCACACCATAAAAACTTTAGATGAGCTCCAGCTAGCTCGAGATGTGCAAAATATTTGAGTACCACACTCTACACACAGGAGGATTCGAAACATTGACCTGAGGAGACTTACGACCTTCAGAGAGATTGCTCTACCAACAAGTCATTGAATATATGTGTGTGTGTGTGTGTGTGTGTGTGTGTGTGTGAACGGGATGATCACGGCCGCTCTGCTAGGAGTTGGCACCGCGGGCGATTTCGTGGCGACGCGAAGATGTTACGTGTGTGTGTGTGTGTGTGTGTGTGTGTGTGGGTGGGGGGGGGGGGTGTGTGTGTGTGTGTGTGTGTGTGTGTGTGTGTGTGTGTGTGTGTGTGTGTGTGTGTGTGTGTGTGTGCGTGTGTGCGTGCGTGTGAACGGAATGATCACGGCCGCTCTGCTAGGATTTGGCACCGCGGGCGATTTCGTGGCGACGCGAAGATGTTAGCGGCTAAACGACGGCAATCCCTGGTGAGATTTTTCTGGTTTTTCGTTTTAGGCTTTCCCCTTGCTCTCAGTTTTCTTCTCCCGTCATCTTCTCTCGCTACGGTCATGGATAAAACTTACGCTGGGATCACTGCGAGGATTTCTTCTTCTGGGTCTCCTTCAAAGTTTGTCTTCCCTTCTTCTTACCATGATTCGCTTGCTATTGGGGGTGATAGTAGCTTCATTAAACCTCAAGGTCATAAGAGGGGTAAAAACGCGCTTTTTCTCTCCGATTCTGAGAACTCTATCCTCGCCACTGCTTGTCGTTTTAATTTGATTGATAAATTCCTCTATGGTCTGCCGAAATATGATTTTCTATTGAAGAATTTTGAGTTGTTAAAATTTTCGGGAGGTTGGAAGATCGGGGCCTTGGATAGCCGACATATTTTGATACAACTTTTCATTGAAGACGATTATACAAAGATTTTCGCCCGTACAACTGTTCACTTTGGTGATGTTTGGATGAAGGTCTCAAATGGACAACTGACTTTGACCCCAAAACCGAGCTCCCTGTTATCCCTGTCTGGTTTAAACTCCCTGGTCTGAAAGCGCATTTGGTTAATCACGAAATTTTATTTTCGATTGCTGCCATGTACGGGAAACCTCTAATGCTTGATGCTCATATCTTCAATCTCACAAGGCCCTCGGTTGCTAGAATATTAATTGAGAGAGATATCACCTTACCTCCACCGGAGGATATTTGGATAGGCTCTACTCATACGGGTTACTGGCAATCGGTTTTGCTTGAAAAACATCAATATTAGGGTCTGTTTGGGGCAGCTGCAGCTTATCCAGCTTCTGCTGATAAGCAGCTTATCCTGATAATCTGCTGATGAGCAGCTGATCCGGATAAGTTGTCTGGCTGTTTGGTTGGCGCTTATGGAAAACAGCTGATTGTGAAAAATTGACCATTTTGCCCCTGTTCTGAATAAGCAGTCGAGGATTTGTTTAAATTTTACTATACTTATTTGAATATTTCATATTTATATTTCTAAACTTTTCAATTCTTTTGAAATCAATTTGATACCAAATTTATCATAAGAAAAACCATAAGATTCTAGACTTACCAGCCAATATATCAATTTGAGACAGAGATCAATAAACTAAGGTATCCTTTTGTAAGCTTCTACTTAAATTATGTTGTGAAGCTATTGTTGAAAAGTTGCTTCATGAAGCAACTTCAAAA